TAAACCACTGCACCTCTTTTGTTTGTTCCATGCAGCACATGAGAGCTGGTGTGGGAATCTGAATGATAAGGGGACCAATGAATGTTGCAAACCAAGACACATGCTATGCTGAACAAGTTTTGGCAGACTACCCTTGCTTCCAGCCTTATACATAGCTAGCAATGAATTTTCCTTGCTTGCATATTTGAAGGCCAGGGTTTGGATATCTCGGAAAACTTGCTTGAAAGCATCAACAGAAGCCTGGCTGAGTACAGCTGACCCCTGCTTCTCATAACATAAGCGCTCCACATCAAAAGTTATGACATTTTGACTTTCTTCATCATTTCCAGCAAGAAGATCTCGACAAGAATCAACCATCAACTGTTTGAAATTACATGTCTGCTCCGCTTCTAGCAAACCCCAAGAAATCTCATCCATCAAGTTTTCCCGAGAATGGAGATCAGAAGAAAGATACAAGTCTGATAGTGAAATGCTAAAACCCCTATCAGACAACCAATCACAAAGAACTTCCTGTGCAGCATATAAAAAGTTAAGAACCATACTTTTATCATATTTAACAAGACTTTGGAAAAGATTTCCATCATTGTCACGTAACCAGGCAGACCCGTCAGAAGAAGATGTAAGCTCCCCATTAATAATGCAAACCCCATTTTGTGAGAAGTAATAATTAAAGCCTGGAGGTAAGAGCATGCTGAATAATTGTTTGCCAGTCCAAACGGAACTATTCAGTCGAGGAGCTTTCACAAGTGCTGGCGGTGGCAACTCATAAGGACAATACATCTTCAGCTGCTGCATTTGATACTTGTTTAATAAAAACCCATCCTCCTTTATCAAATGAGCAGCAGTCAAACTATCTTGACCAAGACAAAGTAGGTTTCTACCACTCAACCAATTAGTTAACTGCCTATCTAAGGCAACAAGCTCGTGAAGCTCAACTCTAGCTTCAATCGATTGAGGAATATAGCCATGAAAGCAGTCACCATCAAAATCTCCACGGAAAGGAGAACAGCAGATAGGATTTATGGAAACAACTGAGCTTATAGGAAGGACCTTGACAGAAAGAGCAATGAGGGAGTGTGGATGAATTGATGGAGGTCTATTTATCAACAAGATATCTCCATCCTTTAGCGGCCGGGAGATAATGTCTCCCATCCGCAGATCACTGATACGACGTAAAGAAATCAGACTATTTTTTCTGCGTACATGAATCTCACCCTTCTCAAGAAGGCGTAGATCACAAGAAGAAATTAACTTGTCCCAGTTCCAATTATTCAGGTTCTCTGATATTTGCAAACTTTCTGCAATATGACAGGGAATACCAATTTCACTAAGTTTAAGGCTCCGATCCCCGATAACAACTGTGCGAAAGGAACTGTCATTTCTCTTTCCAAGAAGAACATCTTTCATATATCTCAAACCAACCATATTAGAAGAATCTTCATTCTTTAACAAAGCAGTTGTTGCATCTTTACTTGAGGACTTGAATGTGTGAAGCTGCATTAGATAGATAGAGATATATAATATATAACACCACATGAGAAAAAGCACATGTTTTGGGAGATTGGAGAGAAAACATAAAACTAGAAAATCATAGCAGAACTTGCCTTGGAAATTTTTAGACAACCCAGTACACGAGAACTCAACTCATTTGAAGTTCCCCTGAAGTCAACCAGCTTTTTGTAAGCCCCCGTTCTTTCATCCTACAGCCAACCATAAATGACAATGACGAATGAACCACATGTAAGAAAAGAAAAGTAACAAATCATACAACATAAAATGTCAAACAATCTAGTTAATCGAGTCACAAAAGAAGAGGCTTACAAAGAACAATCGCTGCCCACTGGAGAACATGTATGTCAGTTCTGTTACACGATGACTATTTGGCGTCACGGGGAAATAGTTGAGAAAAAGGGAGTCTGGCCTCAATATAAACTTTCTAATGAGCTTCGGATCAATGGCTTTCAATAAAAAATGAACCTTGAACCATTAAGCAATCACAAAACATCAGCTTATTTCCCAAAAAAAAATAAAATACCAATCAAAAACCAAGTGGCCTAGAGATAGTATGGTTTGGACAGGAATCATAGAACAACGGCAGACAGCAAATTTTTATCAAGAAAATTTACTATTTATAATCAGGAAATAGCTTGTAGCAACAATAGTTAACTTTATCCCATTCCAACAATTATAATTTTTTTTAAGATAGAATCCCACACTAACAATTAAAAAGAGATATCTTACACTATGGTCCGTTGCAATGAGTTTGTGGCAAGCAATACCAAACAAACCATTACATATAAGTCGTTTTTAATAGGAAAGAAGACTTTTAAGACAGAAATGGAATACAAGGAGAGGAAACAGTATTTTCTTAAA